GGATTCTCTAGCCCAAAAGACCTGAGCCCAAATTCCTATCCTGTGGGCTGGCTGGTTAGCTCAGTTGGTTAGAGCACTGTGTTATAACACCAAGGTCAAGGGTTTGGATCCCTGCACTGGCCAGCTGCCAAAGAAAAAAAAGAACAAAAACAAATTCCTATCCTGCCACTTACTCTTTGTTTATAACTTCAAACAAATGACTGCTTCTCTCTGAGCCTGTTTCTTCACCTATAAAATGGAATCTAATAATTATGCCTGTCCAACATGGTGGCTGAGGAAGTTCAGTCAGTATAACGTCAGTAAAGTGCTAGCTGTGACAGCTGATGAGGTTATTATTTATTGCCATATATCTATACGTGGGATTACTTCTGATGCATGCAAGTCCATGTGTGTGGGGATAAAAGCTACAACCTAGCTGTACCAAACATTTCAGAAAACTCCCTCTTCACCCAGGGACTACCCCAGACTGCCCCCAAGGATACATCCATCACGGCCACCATACTGCGACATGTGTCAATGCCAAAACCATCGGTCTTCAGATCAGGGTCTGTGGGGGACAGGTTGAAGGTCAGAGGCCAGATGTCACAACCATCCTAGCCCCTATGTCTCTAAACCTGCTCTATGTCTTGACTCCAGTCACTCACGTCGGGTCACAACTTTGTTGAGAATGTTCATGAGTTCTGTGGCGCTGACCTCCATGTCCTGTGGGCGGAAGTTAGGGGTAGGTCAGGGGTGACTGAAAAGGGTCTGGGAATGTCTCGAAGGAGAATGGGAACTTTGGGATTGCCAAGTGTGTGTACAAGGGCAGCCCAAGGGAAAGCATGGAAAGGTCAGTACAGGAGCAGGGCCCGGGTTACTTACATCTCCAGCTAGCTGGGCAAACAGTCTCCGGAACTGCCGGACTTCCTCACTCTCATTGGCCTCAATGTTGGAATAATGGGTGCGTGGGGGCTGCAGAAAGAGGAGATCTCAGAGCAGGTAAGAGGGGTGTCCTGGCTGGGACAGCTCCCTACACCCAAGCGCCCTAGGTGGGAAAGTCAGAGTGGGCTGGGCGCCTGATGATCAAAGGAATGAGCGATGGTTAGCAACTGGGGAGTGACTATGTGTGGCATGGCTAAGACACATGGCTCAGTTTGGGGACAGGACAAGAGGTGGACTTAATGGCAGAGGAATTTCAAGAGAGGGGAAGGGAGTTGGAGCTTCTCGAAAGGATCAGGGATGGAGCCTGGAAAAGGCCTCGGAGGAAGAGGGGTCTCTGGTTGTGGAGGGCGGCTTACCGGGGGCTCCGGGTTGTACTGCGCAGCTGCCTCACTGAGAGGAGACAAGGAGGAGTTAGCACCGGGGGCGGGGCCTCCAACGGGCAGCGCCAGCAGAACCGCCAGCTCCAACCCCCCAGACTCCAGCCTACCGCCCTCCTTGGACCCTCCGTCCTTCATCTATCCCCGTCCTCGCCTGTCCTGCCCCTTCTTTCCCTCCATCAAACCAACCCCAACCCGGAGTCTCGCCCCAACGGTAGGCTCCACTGCCAAAGCACAGCCACCCAATGGCAGATTCCTAGAATCCCTTCGGCCCCACTCAAATATTAACCCCAAATCTCGCCTAGACTCAATAGACCCCAGTCCTTCGAGGGCTCACTTCATTAAGGCTCTGCCTCAGCTTCCCAGGGCCTCATCTTCCTTAGATCTCATCTGACCAGAACCCTACTCCATTGCCTCCCCTTCCTGAATGCCTGTCTTCCCACCATCTTGTCCCAGCTCCATTAGTTCCTGCTCCTTTGAAGGAGCTAAGTAGGCCCTCACAAACAATCTGCCCTTAGGGCCGGCCCGGGGCTCACTCGGGAGAGTGTGGTGCTGATAACACCAAAGCCACAGGTT